GTCTGTAGTTCAGTATTTAACTTTCTGAAATAGTAATTACGTTTAAGGGTATAGTTTTAATCTCATTTTTCTCTGTGTCAACTGGCCCTTACTGTAACTCAACTGGCCCTTACTCAACTCAACTGGCCCTTACTCAACTCAACTGGCCCTTACTCAACTCAACTGGCCCTTACTTAACTCAACTGGCCCTTACTGTAACTCAACTGGCCCTTACTGTAACTCAACTGGCCCTTACTGTAACTCAACTGGCCCTTACTCAACTCAACTGGCCCTTACTGTAACTCAACTGGCCCTTACTGTAACTCAACTGGCCCTTACTGTAACTCAACTGGCCCTTACTGTAACTCAACTGGCCCTTACTGTAACTCAACTGGCCCTTACAGTAACTCAACTGGCCCTTACTGTACTCAACTAGTGATACACTATCTAATGACAACCGGTTTAATAACAATATAAAAAATAACATATTGCAAGCCGCCAAAATTGACCATTTGTGGGGGTTTTTTTTATAACAGTTAAGGGAGACAAACAAGCAAGTTAGTGTATTAATGCTGGATTGTCTCCCGTGCTTTAATCTTGACAAACAATACATATACACAAGCACACAGACACACACACATATATATATATATATATATATATATATATATATATATATATATATATATATATATATATGTATATATATATTTATATATGTATGTATGTATATATATATATATATATATATATATATATATATATATATATATATATATATTTATATATGTAAATATATATATATATATATATATATATATATATATATATATATATATATATATATATATATATATATATATATATATATGCGCTGAAGCGTGCTTGCTTTCGTTATGTATAAGGAAATGCAAATATTCTAAAGAGAGCCGCGCTTTATTTATAAATGTTCTGAAGCCCGCCATAATTGTATTAAGCTTAATGTGTGAGAGATCATAATGGCACCGTTTGACCTAGTACTCTAAATGCTGTGACGCACTTTAAGATCGCCCAACAGCTCCTATCTCTCCCTATACCTCTGTTGGCCTGGACCTATACCTCTGTTGACCTGGACCTCTGTTGGCCTGGACCTCTGTTGGCCTGGACCTATACCTCTGTTGGCCTGGACCTATACCTCTGTTGGCCTGGACCTATACCTCTGTTGGCCTGGACCTATACCTCTGTTGGGCTGGACCTATACCTCTGTTGGCCTGGGCCTATACCTCTGTTGGCCTGGACCTATACCTCTGTTGGCCTGGACCTATACCTCTGTTGGCCTTGACCTATACCTATGTTGGCCTGGACCTATACCTCTGTTGGCCTGGACCTCTGTTGGCCTGGACGTATACCTCTGTTGGCCTGGACCTATACCTCTGTTGGCCTGGACCTATACCTCTGTTGGCCTGGACCTATACCTCTGTTGGCCTGGACCTATACCTCTGTTGGCCTGGACCTATACCTCTGTTGGCCTGGACCTATACCTCTGTTGGCCTGGACCTCTATTGGCCTGGACCTATACCTCTGTTGGCCTGGACCTATACCTCTGTTGGCCTGGACCTATACCTCTGTTGGCCTGGACCTATACCTCTGTTGGCCTGGACCTATACCTCTGTTGGCCTGGACCTCTATTGGCCTGGACCTATAACTCTGTTGGCCTGGACCTATACATCTGTTGGCCAGGACCTATACCTCTGTTGGCCTGGACCTATACCTCTGTTGGCCTGGACCTATACCTCTGTTGGCCTGGACCTATACCTCTGTTGGCCTGGACCTCTATTGGCCTGGACCTATAACTCTGTTGGCCTGGACCTATACATCTGTTGGCCTGGACCTATACCTCTGTTGGCCTGGACCTATACCTCTGTTGGCCTGGACCTATACCTCTGTTGGCCTGGACCTCTATTGGCCTGGACCTATAACTCTGTTGGCCTGGACCTATACATCTGTTGGCCAGGACCTATACCTCTGTTGGCCTGGACCTATACCTCTGTTGGCCTGGACCTATACCTCTGTTGGCCTGGACCTATACCTCTGTTGGCCTGGACCTCTATTGGCCTGGACCTATAACTCTGTTGGCCTGGACCTATACATCTGTTGGCCTGGACCTATACCTCTGTTGGCCTGGACCTATACCTCTGTTGGCCTGGACCTATACCTCTGTTGGCCTGGACCTCTATTGGCCTGGACCTATAACTCTGTTGGCCTGGACCTATACATCTGTTGGCCAGGACCTATACCTCTGTTGGCCTGGACCTATACCTCTGTTGGCCTGGACCTATACCTCTGTTGGCCTGGACCTATACCTCTGTTGGCCTGGACCTCTATTGGCCTGGACCTATAACTCTGTTGGCCTGGACCTATACATCTGTTGGCCTGGACCTATACCTCTGTTGGCCTGGACCTATACCTCTGTTGGCCTGGGCCTATACCTCTGTTGGCCTGGACCTATACCGCAAGATAAAAGTTGACGCCATTTAGGAAAAATGCACCAAGTAAACAATGGCACACAAAACACTAGATTACAATAGCGACAGATTCCTCCCTTCCCAATTTTTTTTTACTCCACCCTCCATTTCCTTTTTCCACCCCCTCCCCCCCCCCCAAACACACACAGCTATTTGCAACTGCATCCAGACACGAACGTGCCTCCATTTTGAGACGCCCATGAATGAATGCTACTCCCCCCCCCCCCCCCCCCCCAAGACCGACACTTGGTCTGGGCATTGAAAAATGGCCCTCTCATGGCATGCCAGAAAGTGACGGGCTAGAGAGGGGAGATCATACACGCTAGTTAATGTTCTCATATCTTTTGACGTTGCGAAGTAGCCGCCCTTTATTAGCATACAGTCTCATTTGTCTATTACCAGCTGAAAAACTAAACTTAAACTAGTATTAGTTAATTTAATCATTGAATTGTTTACACACATGAAAAAAAACATATTTACCTGAGTGTTGACGTACTTTACAAAATAATTTGTCATATGTATTACGTTAACACTCTAAACCAGTGATTTTCTACCTTTACTTGAGAGGTGTGTGGAAGTGTGTGGATGTGTGTGGATGTGTGTGAAATTGTGTGAAAGTGTATGGATGTGTGTCTGTATTTTACAAGTTTTATTTTAATCATCTTCACATTCCTCCTGTGTGTCTGTCCACTTTCCTGTCTGTCTTCCTGTCTGTCCTGCGATATGTCTGTCTTCCGGTCAGTCTGTCTTCTTGTCTGTCTGTCTGTCTGTCTGTCTATCTGTCTGTCTACCTATGTGTCGTTCTACCAGCCTGACATCAGGAGAGGCCCAGAATGATTGCTCGCAACACTTATGGATGCTTTTCTTAATTGTTTGTGTTTTTAATATATACTGAAATATAAGCAGTTTATATTTGATTGCTATAGGTGCAAAAAAGCCTTAGTATTTTTAAATGTACCAAAAAATTCAAAAAGGCGGATGTTTTTTGGGTTTCCATGACAACCAATATTGTTTTCGACCCTTTTTTTTTGTTAAATACTTACTTTTATATGCCTAATATGATAAAAGTATTCAAAAGGCTTTAGATCTTAAACTGTAAAAAATAGAAAAAAACATAGCATATCCCCTTAACTAACTAAACATTTGTTTAGATGGTGCAGTGGCAGAATCTTGAAATGTTTAAAGACAGCCAATGAAGATAGTCAGTAGCTAGCAAGACATTCGACATGATCCTACATAGCTCTACACCGGACTCTGTTTTGGGCAGCTCTCTTTAGTTAATGTAAGCCATACAGCCCTTGCTTCACCCTCTACAGCCCCTCTCCATGATCGTGTAGGCCGGCCCACTGTTCTCCCCTGACCTAATGATTGACCTGCACTTGCCGTCTTATCAGAGACTTTTCCCGTCGTTTCCTGAACTCTAATTCCAGCTTCTCAAATTTTTTATTGAATGTTCTTTCCAAAATCTATAACCTAGATTACCTGTTAAAAATGTGCGTACCGTTTCTGACATAACTGTTAAAATGTTAACATACGCACATTTTACAAGATAACTGTTAGAATTTTAAAATGCTCACATTTATTAGGTAACTGTTAAAATGTTAAATAGCTCACATTTTGCGAGATAACCTGTTAAAATGCGCAGTTTTCTATATATGATGTTCAAGTGCGCACAGTTTTCTAGATAACCGTTAAAATGCGCACAGTTTCCTAGATAACCGTTAAAATGCGCACAGTTTCCTAGATAACCGTTAAAATGCGCAGTTTTCTAAATAACCGTTAAAATGTGCAGTTTTCTAGATAACCGTTAAAATGCGCACAGTTTCCTAGATAAGCGTTAAACTGCCCGCATAGATTCCCCGATGAACCCATTATTTATGAGTGCGGGTCTAGGAGCGCCCTTTGTCCTGCCACAATCAATCAAATTGTCATAAGGTTTATACAGCCGACAGACAGGAAGAGACCCGTGACAAATCGATTGATAAGTTCAACTTTGTCTGAAAAAGAAGAACCCAACAGTGGTAGAATTTTGATGGACTGGAAACATGAGCAAGAAAAGTCAAAGCATGTATGTCGTGATCAGTGGCGTAGCCAGGATCGTCTCAAGGGGGGGGGGAGGGGTTCCAATTTTTACCCGAGGACAAACTTTCGATTTGCACCCCCCTCAAACTTTCGATTTGCACACACCCCCCCCCCCCTCAAACTTTCGATTTGCACCCCCCTCAAACTTTCGATTTGCACCCCCCCCCTCAAACTTTCGATTTGCACCCCCCCCCCCTCAAACTTTTGATTTGCACCCCCCCTCATACTTTTTCTATATACCGAGGGGTCTATGGGGGGGGGGGGTTATGACCCCCCCCTAAACCTCCCTGCCTACGCCACTGGTCGTGATGCCGTCATTATGATTTAACAAGAAAAGTCAAAGCATGTATGTCGTGATGCCGTCATATACTGGAACAATTTATAGATGAATTTAAAAAGCTTTTAAATGTATCTCGAAGAATGGTTAGCAAAACAACTATACAAAACAGATGTATTCAAATAGAATTTTTTATATTTACAAATGATGTGACAACAGCTTGCAAGTAGATTAAATTGTGGCTGAAATAAACATAGCCCAAATAAAATCATAATAATTTTTTTTAGAAACAAAATTCACACAAGTCGCTTGATGTTTTCAACTGATTTTTAAATAGCCAAAAATTGTTTTTCAATATAACATTTTACAAAACATAATTCTAAATAAACGAATAGTTTACAGCATATTATATTTTAACATAAGTAATATTTCAAAACAGATTTACTTGAAATCACCTTGTTTTTCAATTTTCAATTTAAAGTTTTAAAAAATGAGACAAAACATATCAGGAAAAGTTAACAATATGTTGTAAACTAATGAAGTGTACAAGTATTTCTAACTTGCAATCACCTTCTAAATGTTAGCCATCAATACGTGTCTTATTGGTAATAAACAATACGTTTCTAAATGGTAATAAACAATGTATCTAAAATGTTAATAAACAATACATAAACAATACGTTTCTACGTGTTCTAAGGCAGGTCATTGCTGGTGCTAATTAAATAGCGATTTATTGATCGATTTGATTCAAAACAGGGTTAAAACGAAACAAAATAAATATATAAATCAATTTTTAAATATAAATTACAACATCCTTATTGTAAGGATTCGTGTAAGCCGTGTGTTTTATTATTTATTTGTGCACGCATTTTGAATATAAACATTAAACAGGTGCACACATTTGTATTTTTTTTACAGGAAAATTGGAAAGTCAAAACCCATAGTTTTCTACCGGAAATCAATCAAAGGCTTTCTTTAAACGTGCAGCCAAGTAGATCATCTGTAAACTTTGTTCTCGGAAGTTGATCTCAAAATTTTCTTTCCCCTCATAAGACCCAGGCGAGCGGTTCTCACGCTAACAGACTAAAGGCCCCTAGGGTTAGACCTCGTCCAGGAGGAGCATCCACCAGGGTATGTTCAGCCTTCCCCCACCCCACTGGCCGCTGGGTTGGTAGATGGGTGGGTACAGCCACCCGTTGTTTCCGTGGGGGTAGTGGGGGTTGTGTGGGTAATGTGGGCCGTTAGGGTTGTAGATATTACCTGAAATTATAACAACTTTTTAAAATGTATGTATATACAGCATATATGTATATATATATATATATATATATATATATATATATATATATATATATATATATATATATATATATATATATAATCTAACCATCTGTAGCTAGTTATTAATTACAGACAGCTCTGTGTGTGTGGTGACTTTTATATTTTATTTAAACGAAATGTTGACTTTCCATAAGAGAAGACGCTGGTAATTCTGGCTATAGTGAACAAGATAACTGGGCTCACGAACTTTGATACCTTACTAAATGAGCTCACGAACTTTGATACCTGACTAACTGAGCTCACGAACTTTGATACCTGACTAACTGAACTCACGAACATTTGATACCTATCAAAGACCCCCGCCCCCTCTCCCCGCTCTGTAGCACACTTCTACCTGAAAATGTCAATGTTTACCCTCTACGTACATCATCAAACTTCTGTGTATGACTCTATGGTGATCATATGTGTACTTTATGAAACGTCAAATAAGGGTAAATAAACCAGCTGATTCTTAGAAAATAAACCACTTAAGTGACTAGTCTAATCCATTAGTCATTCTTGTGCTTACCTGGGTCTTGTGTGGTGGTTGTTGGGGGAGGTGGAGGGGGTCTGGTCGGTGGTGGCTTGGTTGTTGTCGTCGTTGTTGTCGTTGTTGTTGATGTTGTTGTTGTAGGTGGTAGTGGAGTCGTCGTTGTTGTTGGACGTGTAGTGGTAGTTGTTGTTGTTGTGGTAGTTGTAGGGTAAGGGGTTGTTGTCGGTTTCAACGTTGTCGTCGTGCGCAATGGCGTTGTGGTGGTTGTCGGTCTGGTTGTTGTGGTTGTTGTGGTTGTCGTTGGGGTAGTCGTGGTGGTTGGCGGAGGTGCGGTAATGACCAGCGGCGTGGCGTTGGAGTTGTCTCTGTTGGTGTCCAGCCCTCCAGCGGCGGAGTCGTCTGGCGAGAAGTCCATGTTGAGGGTGTTGCTATCAGGGGCGGCCAGGTCTGGTGACACACTCACTAGAAACAGACAGTTAGACAACTTTTTACACACACACACATATATATATATATATATATATGTATATATATATATATATATATATATATATATATATATATATATATATATATATAAAGCAATGTATGTTTGTTTGTTTGTTTGTCCTTTATGCATTACTACATCTCTCATCACATCGCCGTGAAACTTTGGGAAGTTGTAGAGAATATTCCTAGGGAGGTTTCTGCGAAAAAAAAAATTCAAATTCGCAGGGGTGGCGCCCCGACAGGGCGCGATTTGTTTTTTTTTCTATATACGGTATATAAAAATTAAAGTCGATTTTGGTTTGGCATCGTTCATCCGATAGCCATGAGACTTTGGGGAGTTCATTATACCACTCTAGGGAAGGGTTCTGTAAAAAAATAATTTTTAATTTCGCAAGGGCGGCGCCACGGGAGGGTCCGATTTTTATCTATATACGGTATATAAAAATAATAATAGTGAATTGCAGTGACACCGTTCATCCGATAGGCATGAAACTTTGGGGAGTTCATTATAAAACTCTAAGGAAGGGTTCTTAAAAACAATCATTTTTAATTTCGCAAGGGCGGCGCCACGGGAGGGTGCGATTTGTCTCTATATACGGTATATAAAAATAAAAGTCGATTTTGGTGTGACACCGTTATCCGATAGCCATGAGACTTTGGGGAAGTTGATTAGAACAATTCAGGGAAGGGTTCTGTAAAAAAAAAAAATCCTTTTTTAATTTCGCAAGGGCGGCGCCACGGGAGGCTGCGATTTTTCTCTATATACGGTTTATAAAAATAAAAGTCTATTTCGGTTTCACACCGTTCACCCGTGTACCATGAAACTTTGGGGAGATGATTAGATCACTCAATGGTAGCGATCTGCAAAAAAATATTGTCTAATATTGCAAGGGCGGCGCCCGCCGTGGGGGGGGGGGGGAGCGATTCTTTTTCTCTATACACTGTATATAAAAAATAAAACTCGGATGCAGTTCATCAGAGTGCCATGAAACTTTAGGGAGTAGATGAGAATACTCCCGAGAATATTTCTGCGAAAAAGAAAACTAAAGTTTCTTATGGGCAGCGCCATATAGGGTACAACTTTCGTCAATAAACGGTTTGGAGCCCAGAGTTTTAGAGCGACGATGTTGGCACTTGGCATCCGTTAATCGAGCGTCCTGCATAGCGAGTAAGGGGTACTACTATATTCAGCGGTAAAACTACAACAGGCTTCTAAAAATAACTTTGTAACGCGAAGATCTCCTTCTGTACAGTTTCGTCACCTTGCGAAAGATGAAAAAATAACTTTTTGAATATGAGGAGCCGACTGTAGAGTTTCGTCACTTTGCGAATGATGCAATAAGCATCTATTATTAGACAATCCAGTCAGAAATTGAGATCGAGCATCTAATAATAGACCATTAGTAACGCTAGCATATTGATCAGTCACACTGATGTTTAAAACACGTGAAATACTTTTTTACGTGTTAAAGAAAAAAATCCTGTTCATTTGTGTCACTTTAGCGAATGACGAAATCAGCATCATTATTAACAGGATGCTATTTGGCACGATGGCGCCTGTTAGTTTTAAGGAGCCAGGGGTCGTACGCCGCGCCTATGCGGTAGTGTAATCGGGGGGTGGGGGCCCTGAGAACGCCGCTGTACGTCTCTGACACATGGGCGGTCACCGAAGTGTGTTCTACCATATTATTTCGGTGAGTGATTAATGTACATTCAATGTTTTCACGCGGTAGTGTAGTTAAACCCGTGTCCCGATATTTATGATCCAAGCGCAGGCATTGTTTACATTTAAATAACTCACTTTTAGAAAAGACGGTCACGCGTCTTATAACATATGATTGGAAACGCGTTGCTGAAATCCTTCTAATACATTTCGTCAAACTTACTTCTATCCCCGCGGCAACGCGCGGGGGACGGGTACGCTAGTATATATATATATATATATATATATATATATATATATATATATATATATATATATATATATATATATATATATATATATATATATATATATATATATATATATATATTGTATGTATGTATTTTTTAAAGTTTAAATTGTAATCTTAAAAATTGTATTTAAAATTTCGATACTGCCAACATTTTTATATAATATCTCTAATGGACACCAGCGAGTTGACGAGATTCCTTCCATAATGTTGTTGACATGGAATAAAAACGTGCTTTTTAGATTTTGACCGTAAAAAAAAAAAAAAAAAAAAAAAAAAAAAAAAAAAAAAAAAACTTAAGCCTAAAATTAATTTAGAAATTTTATATTTTTAGAATGAATACTATAAAAGTTTAAAATCCAGAGAACTTGAAAATAATTTGTTGAGTTTAAGGCTACATTTCTATTTATTTTCATCAAGCCTAAGTTATAACCGGATGTTTCACTTTCGTAAGACAAATATTGATTGGCTGTACAGTAACTTAGTGATCGATGGCGGCCTATCCAATAGCAGGATGCCATTGTTTACGTCGCCATTACACGTGAAAACCAAATTGTTTTTGCTTTTTTTTTAAATTTTTATTTAGTTACCGAAAATATTTAAAACATCAGATACATCCAATCTTTAGTAAAGTCCGAAAAAAACCAGACAGGCAGGATTTTATAACCATGTGCATAATTTTGAAATTAATTTATGGACCTCTCAAATACCTTTGAGACTTTTCTCGCTATTGTCCATTGTGTGGTCTGTAACTGTGTCGTCTGTAACTGTGTCGTCTGTAACTGTGTCGTTTATAACTGTGTCGTCTGTAACTGTGTCGTTTATAACTGTGTCGTCTCTAACTGTGTCGTCTCTAACTGTGTCGTCTGTTGTAACTGTGTCGTCTATAACTATGTCTTTTATTACTGTGTCGTCTGTTGGAACTGTGTCGTCTGTTGTAACTGTGTCGTCTGTTGTAACTGTGTCGTCTGTAACTGTATAGTCTCTAACTGTGTCGTCTTTTATTGTGTCGTCTGTAACTGTGTCGTCTGTAACTGTGTCGTCTGTAACTGTGTCGTCTGTTGTAACTGTGTCGTGTATAACTGTGTCATCTATAACTGTTGTCTGTAACTGTGTCGTCTATAACTGTATAGTCTCTAACTGTGTCGTCTATAACTGTGTCATCTATAACTGTGTCGTCTGTAACTGTGTCGTTTATAACTGTGTCGTTGTCTCCGATTCGTTAACCGTCCCCTACTGAGTTCAACTGTCTTAGCCTGATGGACGGCCAATGGTTTGACATCTGATGTGACATCTGATGTGACAATCTGATGTGACAGGTTCATAGTCACCAGCTCTCAGGTGTATTCAGGTATGCGACAAGGTGCAGGCATTTAGTCATAAGGCTATACAAGTGCTCAGCCATTGAGACATGAGAATTCACTCTATCAGTCACAAGACTATTCACGCATTCCTACTGTCCTGATTTGTTTAAGTGAATAGTTCTTTTTTTCATGAGTCAACTTTCTATGTGATATATATATATATATATATATATATATATATATATGCCTATTTACTTATAATTTAGAATTTAGTGGCTAATGTTATAGATTTAGTGTATACGCTTAGACCATTCTAGATTTACTTACAGGAAAAATGAAAACATACAAGGGCGATAACCACAACAAAATTCATCTCCATCGTCGTCTTCATCTGAAGAAAATAATACAAAAACTTAAAAAATACAGAAGTTATAAAACACTATAAAATATTTGGGACAACTGAAGCCATGAAACACCATAGGCATGGAAAGCAAAGTCATTTAACATCAGTGGTTGAAACAACTCCCTAAAGTGAACTACAATGAAACTCTTGTAGCAGGTTTGGTTTATACAACCATTTGCTTACACCAGGGGTCTCAAAACTACGGCCCGCGGGCCGCGCGGCCCGTGATGTCCTCTCATCCGGCCCGCGGAGATCTTTTTGTCCACGGAAAAACCGTTTGTTGGTGATGGCCGAGGAACTTTGCCCAGAAAAATTAAAGACATTTCTGGAAGAAACTGACCCCGAACTAAAATTTGATAGTTAATGCGGCCCTCGGACTGAAAAGTTTGGAGACCCCTGGCTTACACGATAGAGGTAGTTAACTGAGAGGCTCTTTAATCTTTGACGTTGAATCATGCTTGGCTATAACCAGTTTTAAATAGATTCTTCTTTATTTTTTTTAAGGGTAAAGAAATTTTGTTTTAAAGCGTCAATGAGCAACAAGAAACTAGCGTAAAACCAAAATTGATTACTGAGTACAATATTCTACACAAGTAAACAGCTACACAAGCATACAGCTAAACAAGCATACTGCTAGACAAGCATACAGCTAGAAAAGCATACAGCTAGACCAGCATACTGCTAGACAAGCATACGGCTAGACAAGCATACAGGTAAACAAGCATAAAGGTAAACAAGCATACAGCTACACAAGCATACAGCTACACAAGCATTCAACTAGAAAAGCATGTAGCAAATCTGATGAACTTTTAGACCATGAGGAAATAAAATCACATCAATCACATCCACAAGACTACAAGATTTTTATTTGGGCCTTGTCAACAGTTGATGCATGATGAAAGGTGCAGGGTAAATGTGCTAAAATGTGCTAATATAAATCAGGATTAAACCAGTCCAAAATTAGCCTAAACGTCCAGATTTATGATGTGTCTTGTTTCCTGAGTGTATGAAATGTTTGTTTGATAGCTTTACATGTTTTATGCTTGTAAACTAGTTCATAGCTACACATGTATTATGTTTGTAAACTAGTTCATAGCTACACGTGTATTATGCTTGTAAAGCTGTTTGACAGCTCAACATGTTTATGCTTGTAAGGCTGTCTCATAGTTGCACATATTCAGTGACTGTATGTTGTGTGTGTGACTGTTTGTTGTGTGTGTGTGACACTGTTTGTTGTTGTCTGTGTGATTGTATGTTGTGTGCGTGACTGTATGTTGTGTGTGATTGTATGTTGTGTGTGATTGTATGTTGTTTGTGTGATTGTATGTTGTCTGTGATTGTAAGTTGTCTGTGTGATTGTATGTTGTGTGCGTGACTGTATGTTGTCTGTGTGATTGTATGTTGTCTGTGTGATTGTATATTTTCTGTGTGATTGTATATTGTCTGTGTGACTGTATGTTGTGTGTGATTGTATGTTGTCTATGTGATTGTATGTTGTGTGCGTGACTGTATGTTGTCTGTGTGATTGTATGTTGTGTGTGTGACTGTATGTTGTCTGTGTGATTGTATGTTGTCTGTGTGATTGTGTGTTGTCTGTGTGATTGTATGTTGTCTGTGTGATTGTATGTTGTGTGTGTGATTGTATGTTGTCTGTGTGATTGTATGTTTTCTCTGTGACTGTATGGTGTCTGTGTGACTGTATGTTGTCTGTGTGATTGCATGTTGTGTGATTTGAATTCCTCTTTAGACCTAGCGATCAATTGGACAGACGAAGTAGAAGTCAGAGCTTGGTGGACACAGAGACGTCCTACAGTCACAAGTCCGAACCGAGATCCAAACTCAAGAACTTTTGGCTAGCAGCTAGCCGCACTATCAATCGACCACGCCGTCCCATATCATACAAGTATGACATTCTCTAATTTGTTATTAATTTATTATCATGCTATAATCGAGCTATAAACGTGCTAACTATAATCATCAGATAATTGTTGCTAATTATTTCTTATGATTTAACGCAATTGTGAAACATTACTTTAAATAGGCTTTGAAAAGCTAGTTCCAAATGGTTCCAAATTATTTTTGCCAGAAAGCATATTTTTCAAGTAAAATTTGAATATTTTATAACATTTGAGAAATAAAAGCACAAAGACTTCAGGTTTTATTTAGGCCAGAAATATTCAAACAAATAATTGCTAATAATATGATAGTAACTTAGCTTACACTTTTATTTTTTATTTTTATTAGTTGAGTCTGGAAGTTGTGGTAATAGGGGATTTCATATTATTTGATAAAAATGAACTGCTAGGCTATAACCCATGGACCGCTATTGTATATTTTGTCATGGAAAACTATTGTTGTGATTTTCATTGTTTTACTTTCTCTGGCCACACCGGTTGACTTGCAGAAGGTGGGGTTGAGGGCATTTAAAAAAAATAATTCGAATTGATAAAATAACTCTAAATGGCTTTTCCGCGGTTTATACTCAATAAAAAAATGAAAAGGTGTGTAATCATTGGTTCCCAATCGACTTAATTTTTTTTTTTTAAATGCTATTATAATTTTATGGCTTGATATATTTTAAAAAAGATTTCACTTTAAATATGTATGATTACATAAACTTTTCAAGCCTTTCCTCTTAATTTCAATCTATTTAGGTTTTTTATTAAATCGCATTGCTCTACATTACTCTTTGATTGCTTATAGACACATTAATAAAATACAAACCCTTTGAGAAACAGTAACTGAAAATAAAATCTTTGATCGTCCACAGGCACAATATATTTACAAAAGGTATGACGGCCTATTTTTTCTTAAATTTCAATTCACGAGGTTTCAATTAAAACCGAGGAATGAATGAATGACCAACAGGTAACTTACACAACAGCCTGACCTGACTTTTACTTGTACCATGCAGGACATTGTACGCACTTCCGTTAGGTGTAAACACGCACTTTAACGCCACACCCTGATTTGCCACATGAAACAATAGTTTGTTGCATGGGACTTTCTTACTCGCTTATGACAAGACATCAGTCAGTGGCGTCGCTGCACAGTTCGGTATGTGGGTTTGACGGCAGTAAGTCGCAGCAGGGTGCAACCTCACCGTACATATAGACATACAGGGAGATGTTAACAATACCCCAACACCATTATATACATACATATACACAAAATGAATTGCAAATAAATCATTGCACACAAATACAAGCACACACACAAGCACGTACATACGCACACAAGCACGTACACACACACAAGCACGTACACAAACACAAGAACGTACACACACACACAAGCCCGTACACACACAAGCACATACACACAAACACAAGCACGTACACACAAACACAAGCACGTACACACACACAAGCACGTACACACACAAGCACGTACATACAAACACAAGCACGTACACACAAACACAAGCACGTACACACAAACACAAGCACGCACACACACACACAAGCACGTACACACACACACAAGCACGTACACACAAATACAAGCACGTACACACACACACACACAAGAACGTACACACAAACACAAGAACGTACACACACACACAAGCCCGCACACACACACAAGCACATACACACAAACACAAGCACGTACACACACAAGCACGTACACACAAACACAAGCACGTACACACACACAAGCACGTACACACACACAAGCACATACACACAAACACACACAAGCACGTACACACAAACACAAGCACATACACACAAACACAAGCACGTACACGCAAACACAAGCACGTACACACACACACACAAACACAAGCACGTACACACAAACACAAGCACATACACACAAACACAAGCACGTACACACACACACAAGGACGTACACACAAACACAAGCACGTACACACAAACACAAGCCCGTACACACAACCACAAGCACGTACACACAAACACAAGCCCGTACACACAACCACAAGCACGTACACACAAACACAAGCACGTACACACACACAAGCACGTACACACACACACAAGCACGTACACACAAACACAAGCACGTACACACAAACACAAGCACGTACACACAAAAACAAGCACGTGCAAACACACGATCTAACACACACACGTTCTCACTCACACACATTCTGACTCACACGTTCTGACACACACACACACACAGTCTATCACATAAACGCATATACACAAACCTAAACACAAGAACGCAAACACACAAACGCAAACACAAACGCAAACACACAAACGCAAACACACAAACGCAAACACACAAACGCAAACACACAAACGCAAACACACAAACGCAAACACACAAACGCAACACACAAACGCAACACACAAACGCAAACACACAAACGCAAACACACAAACGCAAACACACAAACGCAAACACACAAACGCAAACACACAAACGCAAACACACAAACGCAAACACACAAACGCAAACACACAAACGCAAACACACAAACGCAAACACACAAACACAAACACACACAAAACAAACACACATGCAAATCTATATGTTAGTATGTTCTGTTGATAATTAGTGTATTAAAGTGATGCAGAAATCAAGTAGACCCTAAAAGACTTAGTTAAAACCTGACTACGGAAAAGACTTGTTTTAGAATATTTTTATTATTATTAACATAATGCATCAGATTTTACACACTGATAAAGCTATAAGCGAGCTCTGGTGTAATACACCTAAGATGGCCATAGGTGATAACTGCAGGTGGTAATGATGATCATAAATGAGGAATGAAAGGTAAAAGTAAATGTGGATATCCCTATAATTAAAGATTTACCAAAGTCATAGTTATTACACTAATTAATCTTATGATTAAAAAATAAAAACTCCCTACCGTTTTTCAATGCTGTCAAATGTTACAAAGACTTTTTGTTAAGAAATATATTTAGAGCCAGATCGTATTCCAACGTGTTATTTCTATGTTCTAGAACAGCATAAGAAATATTGTCCACGGACCATCAAATGTCGAGTTTGGCCTAACTTCCGCTGAGCTGCTGGATTACCGCGCTTACTTTTTTTTTTTAAATTACCTCCCCTTGCATAAAACCATTTCTATTTTAGTTAACAAACAATTGTTTTAGAAGATGAAAAAAAAATTGCCGTCATCCAGGAATGCGCGATGCCAAAGTTTGTGTAATGTAGGCACGGCTGAATTCATCGAAACTTTTCAACCTGGTCTTCTCAGTCAAGCCTCAATTACTTTATGTCGTGTTACCATTTAAAGTATTACTCTTTGCAAAGTGATCTACATTGCATATATAAAGACAAAATATAGATCATTTTGCCTCAACCTTTAGTCCACAAAGGGAGTAACGGGAAGGGTTTCTTGCGTGTTTTGACAGGTTTATTTTGGAAACCTCACGAGACAAGGGGGATAATCCACGTCATAACTTTTAACATTTTGAATTTACTTGGCGTTTGGTTTCTAACGTTTGGAAAAAGGAATGTTTGCTGAAAAAAGGAATGTTTGCTGAAAAAAGGAATGTTTGCTGAAAAAAGGAATGTTTGCTGAAAAAAGGAATGTTTGCTGAAAAAAGGAATGTTTGCTGAAAAAAGGAATGTTTGCTGAAAAAAGGAATGTTTGCTGAAACTGGAGCTAGGTGTGCAATGGGTGACGTCATGGAGACACCAACAACATTATTTTAACATTGGGTCGTGCGCAACATAATTAAATCACCAGATATGGCGTTGTTCTTTTAGTGGTGAAACGCATAAAGTAGCGAGCTGATAATAAAAACATAGTAGAAAGATTGAATGATAACGATTGAATTCAACTTAGCACCAAGCGACGCATGGGCTGAGATAATTTCTTTATGTTAATGATGTCTATTTTTAGCTGCGCTCGATCGCCCATCCCCGGCTGACTAAACTCATCTGCCGCCCCTTGTACTTTCTGCCTCTAGTGGGGGGGGGGTGTGGTAAAGTGGGGACGAGGACGGGGGGGGGGGGGGTGGAACGACGGTCACTGCAATTACAAAGGTTTACTGAAGTTTGCTAAAGTTTACTAAAATGTGCTAAAGTTTAGATGTTTTGCCGACTATAAAATTATAGATGTCTTTTAATGACCGGATTCTAATGGTTTCGACCGACACAATTTTAGACCTGTTGGCTGACTGAACTTAAGATATTTTTAGACCTGTTGACTGACTGAACTTTAGATATTTTTAGACCTGTTGACTGACTGAACTTAAGATATTTTTAGACCTGTTGACTGACTGAACTTTAGATATTTTTAGACCTGTTGACTGACTGAACTTTAGATATTTTTAGACCTGTTGACTGACTGAACTTTAGATATTTTTAGACCTGTTGGCTGACTGAACTTAAGATATTTTTAGACCTGTTGACTGACTGAACTTTAGATATTTTTAGACCTGTTGACTGACTGAAAATAAGATATTTTTAGACCTGTTGGCTGACTGAACTTAAGATATTTTTAGACCTGTTGACTGACTGAACTTAAGATATTTTTAGACCTGTTGGCTGACTGAACTTAAGATATTTTTAGACCTGTTGGCTGACTGAACTTAAGATATTTTTAGACCTGTTGGCTGACTGAACTTAAGATATTTTTAGACCTGTTGGCTGACTGAACTTAAGATATTTTTAGACCTGTTGGCTGACTGAACTTAAGATATTTTTAGACCCGTTGGCTGACTGAATTTAAGATATTTTTAGACCTGTTGACTGACTGAACTTAAGATATTTTTAGACCTGTTGACTGACTGAACTTAAGATATTTTTAGACCTGTTGACTGACTGAACTTAAGATATTTTTAGACCTGTTGACTGACTGAACTTAAGATATTTTTAGACCTGTTGACTGACTGAACTTAAGATATTTTTAGACCTGTTGACTGACTGAACTTCATCTGCATCAACCTAAGTTGTCGTAATCAACCAAATTAAAGGTTGGTAGTATGATGTCTATCAATACGTTCACAACAAACGTACGTTTGTGGAGCGTCGTATTCATTAACTTATTTAAATTTGTATAGCATTCAGATTAAACTTTTACAAATATGCTGACAATTGTGTTTAAACACGGATTAACCCGACTTACTTTTGTTTGAAATTTTGTTCCTTTAGAAGTCCGCGGCCACCTACGGGGCATGAATGAGAGGTCTGAACATTTCCTGGTGAACGTTAAATAGCTAGACGGAACTAGCAGTATTCTTGGACGTCAACACAAGAGCTTTAACAAAAAAACCTTGTACATGTAATCCATCAGCAAAGAGTCATCTTGTGCTATCAAATCTTTCACTTAGCCCATGTCGTGTCTACCACAGAGACACAATGCTATCAAACTTCACCTTTAAAATGTTGTCGTAAGATTTTTTTTGTACCTTATTTTAACGTTGTAGGATATTCATAGCACCTTTAGTGTCTTTAATGTGTAATAAAATCTTTTCATCTTTATTTTCCTGCTTTTTAAAGATTTTGTCTGAGATAACGTCATTCTAGTCCCTTCTACATCACGAGACCCTACACTAAGACGGGTTTCAGGTGACCCTAGACCCTGCAACGATGACGTAGTTGCTGACCCGACACGTTGCCACGCTAACGTGACCCCAAACCTCACACATTGAGATGTTTTAGCTGACCAGACGTTTTTATTACCATGGTTAACTAACTGACGACATACTTTATTTGTTAACTTGTTTTAACTGACTCCAAATGAAAAGTTGCTATGGTCAGAGTTTCTTCCAGGTATCTCTCCCCGAACGATTTGGAATTTATATAGAAAGCAGTACCAGTGACCACCCCCATCCCCCCCCCCCCCAAATATTAAGTGCCTCTTCCCCCCCCCCCCCCTCCGGACAAAAAAGTCTGGAAGAAACACTGGCTATGGTTACTTGTTACAAGTGTGAGTGTTACACGTGTATCCAGTGGAACCACCCTCGGGGTTATGTTGATGCCCAGAAGATTAGTATGTAGAAAACGGCTCTTTCTTCACTGTCAGGTTGTTGTTTTTTTCCGTTTACAATATCTTTAAGGGAGGTAATGCTAGTTACTTTTAAAAAAATTAAATTGCACTAATTATTTCCCTTGTTGTAGGAAAACAATACAAAAGGATTTCACATAGCAGTTTACACCTTACAATAATTGAAGTACAGGTTTAATTTTATCTGGATCTAGCAATTTAACTTCTAACAAAACATAAAATATAGGTCTTGTTTTATCTAGCAATTTATTTCTTACAAAGCATAAAATATGTTGTTTAATCTGGCAAATAAGTTCCAAAGCACAAAATATGTTTTGTTTAACATAGCAATTTATTTCTAACAAAACATACAATTGTATGATTTGTTTAACTGTGCATTTTTAATTTTAACAATATGAGGTTCGATTTTGTCTTAAATCTAATTGGATCTAATCGAATAATCAATGAAACAAGTTTAAATAAACAACAACGAACTAAAAAAGATGAAAAAAGAATTTTTTTTTTTAATTTATATTTTTCAAGTTTACAAATTCACACTTCAATTTTTTTTCTTTTCATCGGAAAGAGGTATGAACCATCTGCTGTTCATTGAATTATGCCTGAACTCGTTTGACTAGAAATATTGTAATGCAATCTTAATAAATACTCATACATTTAACACGTTATTGTCGAACATATACATGTCGTTTACTTAAAGTATTTTATTTAGATACAATTATTTAAACAATGTATTATCTATACCCTGCAGCAAAATATGTTGTCTTATGTCTTATATGTCTGGCTCTACAGCCGCAGGTGTGTCAAACACACCAGAGAGCACTCGTTACACACTACACACTTGCGTCATCAGCTGGATGGACTACTTAGCCATTATCGTCTAAATTACGGAATTTAGATCTAGATTTCTAAAGACATGCTAAAATAATGAAGGCATTTGTTTGATTCGTTTACAAAGAGAAGAGACTGGGTTGATGGTAAATATAGAGATAAATCAAACTGTTTTATTTAAGATTCTGATGTGGTATAAGATAAAATGCAAATATTGCCACTTGCTTGTATTTTCCCCACAAACTATTTACAACTGAGCATGCGCAGTCAAATTGAGAACTCATTCAAGTCAACATTTAGCAAGAATAGAGAGTGTGTACATTTACAGGTGAATGTATGAGTTCATTGATGAAAAGTACAGGTAATCGAGTATGATTGATGTGAATACGTTTACATGTAGTCGAGTATGATTTATGTGAATACGTTTACAGGTAGTCAAGTATAATTAATGTGAATACGATTACAGGTAATCGAGTATGATTGATTTGAATACGATAACAGGTAATCGAGTATGATTGATGTGAATACGACTACAGGTAATCGAGTATGATTGATGTGAATACGTTTACAGGTAGTCGAGTATGATTGATGTGAATACGATTACAGGTAATCGAGTATGATTGATGTGAATACGATTACAGGTTGTCGAACATGAGGTAATTCATCAACCAGTTGGGATGTTGAGATGCTGAGCTTCTCTGTCTGCCCATCTGTGGGTACTGCGGCTGTTGCTGTGGCCAACCCGCGAACTGCTGTCGTTGTTGTGGCTGGAACTGCTGCTGTTGGGGCCACTGCGGCTGTTGGGGCCACTGCGGCTGTTGTAGTTGCTGTTGGTACTGCCTGTCCTCCTGCTGGTAGACTGGCATCGCCTGGGACGGTTGCTGTGGTAACGGCTGGTTCTGACGCTGGATGTCGTCAGACTTCATCAGCAGCTCAAAGAGTCGGTTGGTGCCGGGGTTCGAATCTGTGGCAAGGTGACTTTATGGTTAGATGACACGGTAAGGTGAGACTTTATGGTTAGATGACACGGTAAGGTGAGACTTTGTGGTTAGATGATACGGTAAGGTGAGACTTTGTGGTTAGATGATACGGTAAGGTGAGACTTTATGATTAGATGACACAAGGTGAGACTTTATGATTAGATGACACAAGGTGAGACTTTATGATTAGATGACACAAGGTGAGACTTTATGGTTAGATGACACGGCAAGGTGAGACTTTATGGTTAGATGACACAAGGTGAGACTTTATGGTTAGATGACACGGTAAGGTGAGACTTTATGGTTAGATGACACGGTAAGGTGAGACTTTATGGTTAGATGACACGGTAAGGTGAGACTTTATGGTTAGATGACACAAGGTGAGACTTTATGGTTAGATGACACGGTAAGGTGAGACTTTATGGTTAGATGACACGGCAAGGTGAGACTTTATGGTTAGATGACACAAGGTGAGACTTTATGGTTAGATGACACGGTAAGGTGAGACGTTATGGTTAGATGACACGGTAAGGTGAGACGTTATGGTTAGATGACACGGTAAGGTGAGACGTTATGGTTAGATGACACGGTAAGGTGAGACGTTATGGTTAGATGACACAAGGTGAGACTTTATGGTTAGATCACATGGTAAGGTGAGACGTTATGGTTAGATGACACGGTAAGGTGAGACGTTATGGTTAGATGACACGGTAAGGTGAGACGTTATGGTTAGATGACACGGTAAGGTGAGACGTTATGGTTAGATGACACAAGGTGAGACTTTATAGTTAGGTGACACGGTAAGGTGAGACTTTATGGTTAGATGACACGGTAAGGTGAGACGTTATGGTTAGATGACACGGTAAGGTGAGACGTTATGGTTAGATGACACAAGGTGAGACTTTATAGTTAGGTGACACGGTAAGGTGAGACTTTATGGTTAGATGAGACGGCAAGGTGAGACTTTATGGTTAGATGACACGGTAAGGTGAGACTTTATGGTTAGATGACACGGTAAGGTGAGACTTTAAGGTTAGATGACACGGTAAGGTGAGATCTTAAGGTTAGATGACACGGTAAGGTGAGACTTTATGGTTAGATGATACGGTAAGGTGAGACTTTATGGTTAGGTGACACGGTAAGGTGAGACTTTATGGTTAGATGACACGGTAAGGTGAGACTTTATGGTTAGATGACACGGCAAGGTGAGACTTTATGGTTACATGACACGGCAAGGTGAGACGTTATGGTTAGGAGACAGGGTAAGGTGAGACTAAGGTTAGATGACACCGCAAGGTGAGACTTTATGGTTAGATGACACGGCAAGGTGAGACTAAGGTTAGATGACACGGCAAGGTGAGACTTTATGGTTAGAAGACACGGTAAGGTGAGACTAAGGTTAGATGACAAGACAATGTGAGACTTTATGGGACACGGTAAGGTGAGACTTTATGGGACACGCCAAGGTAGGACGTTATGGTTAGATAACACGGCAAGGTGAGACTTTAGGGTTAGATGACACGGTAAGGTGAGACTTTATGGTTAGATGACACGGTAAGGTGAGACTAAGGTTAGATGACACGGCAATGTGAGACTTTATGGTTAGATGACACGGTAAGGTGAGATCTTAAGGTTAGATGACACGGTAAGGTGAGATCTTAAGGTTAGATGACACGGTAAGGTGAGACTTTATGATTAGATGACACAAGGTGAGACTTTATAGTTAGGTGACACGGTAAGGTGAGACTTTGTGGTTAGATGACACGGTAAGGTGAGACTATGGTTAGATGACACGGCAAGGTGAGACTTTATGGTTAGATGACACGGCAAGGTGAGACTTTAAGGTTATAAATTGTAGGGTATATGAAAAATATATGTTCTCCCACATGTCCGAACTATTTTATTTAATCACATTCCTTGGGAGTGATAAACCACATCATTCAGTACCACACGACTCACATTATGTGTGGTTAACCACATCATTCAGTACCACACAACTCACCTTGGGAGTGACAGGTTGACAGAAACATCCCCAGGAGAGCAAGCAGTAATGTAGCTGACGTCATCCTATAATGGAAACACGTGACCGATAAGTTATAAACGGCGATATTGTTTCTATATATGTGGCGTGTTTTAGCCACAATTTTTCTGTGAACCTGTGACTGCCACAATTTACCTGTGACTGCCGCAATTTACCTGTGACTGACACAATTTACCTGTGACTGGCACAATATACCTGTAGATGCCAAAATTTACCTGTGACTGCCACAATTTACCTGTGACTGCCGCAATTTACCTGTGACTGACACAATTTACCTGTGACTGCCGCAATTTACCTGTGACTGACACAATTTACCTGTGACTGACACAATATACCTGTAGATGCCAAAATTTACCTGTGACTGCCACAATTTACCTGTGACTGCCGCAATTTACCTGTGACTGCCACAATTTACCTGTGACTGCCGCAATTTACCTGTGACTGACACAATTTACCTGTGACTGACACAATATACCTGTAGATGCCAAAATTTACCTGTGACTGCCACAATTTACCTGTGACTGCCGCAATTTACCTGTGACTGACACAATTTACCTGTGACTGACACAATATACCTGTAGATGCCAAAATTTACCTGTGACTGACACAATTTACCTGTGACTGCCGCAATTTACCTGTGACTGACACAATTTACCTGTGACTGACACAATATACCTGTAGATGCCAAAATTTACCTGTGACTGCCACAATTTACCTGTGACTGCCGCAATTTACCTGTGACTGACACAATTTACCTGTGACTGGCACAATATACCTGTAGATGCCAAAATTTACCTGTGACTGGCACAATATACCTGTAGATGCCAAAATTTACCTGTGACTGCCACAATTTACCTGTGACTGGCACAATATACCTGTAGATGCCAAAATTTACCTGTGACTTCCACAATTTACCTGCTTCCCTAGGTCTTACTTCCACTACGTAGGCTACCATTTGTCTCCATATCTCAGTTAACATTCCATACATGGGGAATTTATACGACAGGCAGTACTGAGGTCCGCCAACTTAACTACAAATGTGGACCACAGACTTTACTGAACCCAAACTTTACTGAGCCAAAACCTTTTTTACCCCAAACTTTACTGAGCCAAAACCTTTTTTACCCCAAACTTTACTGAGCCAAAACCTTTTTTACCCCAAGCTTTACTGAGCCCAAACTCTACTGAGCCAAAACTTTACTGAGCCCAAACTTTACTGAGCCAAAACTTTACTGAGCCCAAACTTTACTGAGCCCAAACTTACTGAGCCCAAACTTTACTGAGCCCGAACTTTACTGAGCCAAAACCTTTTTTACCCTAAACTTTACTGAGCCAAAACCTTTTTTACCCCAAACTTTACTGAGCCCAAACTTTACTGAGCCAAAACTTTACTGAGCCCAAACTTTACTGAGCCCAAACTTTACTGAGCCCAAACTTTACTGAGCCAAAACTTTACTGAGCCCAAACTTTACTGAGCCAAAACTTTACTGAGCCCAAACTTTACTGAGCCCGAACTTTACTGAGCCAAAACCTTTTTTACCCCAAACTTTACTGAGCCAAAACCTTTTTTACCCCAAACTTTACTGAGCCCAAACTTTACTGAGCCAAAACTTTACTGAGCCCAAACTTTACTGAGCCAAAACTTTACTGAGCCCAAACTTTACTGAGCCCAAACTTTACTGAGCCCACACTTTACTGAGCCCACACTTTACTGAGCCCAAACTTTACTGAGCCCAAACTTTTACTGAGCCCAAACTTTACTGAGCCCGAACTTTATTGAGCCAAAACCTTTTTTTACCCCAAACTTTACTGAGCCCAAATTTTACTGAGCCCAAACTTTACTGAGCCCACACTTTACTGAGCCCACACTTTACTGAGCCCAAACTTTACTGAGCCCAAACTTTACTGAGCCTAAACTTTACTGAGCCCAAACTTTACTGAGCCCGAACTTTATTGAGCCAAAACCTTTTTTTACCCCAAACTTTACTGAGCCCACACTTTACTGAGCCCACACTTTACTGAGCCCAAACTTTACTGAGCCCAAACTTTTACTGAGCCCAAACTTTACTGAGCCCGAACTTTATTGAGCCAAAACCTTTTTTTACCCCAAACTTTACTGAGCCCAAACTTTACTAAGCCCAAATTTTACTAAGCCCACACTTTACTGAGCCCAAATTTTACTGAGCTCAAACTTTACTGAGCCCAAACTTTACTGAGCCCAAACTTTTACAGAGCCCAAACTTTACTGAGCCCGAACTTTATTGAGCCAAAACCTTTTTTTACCCCAAACTTTACTGAGCCCACACTTTACTGAGCCCACACTTTACTGAGCCCAAACTTTACTGAGCCCAAACTTTTACTGAGCCCAAACTTTACTGAGCCCGAACTTTATTGAGCCAAAACCTTTTTTTACCCCAAACTTTACTGAGCCCAAACTTTACTAAGCCCAAATTTTACTAAGCCCACACTTTACTGAGCCCAAATTTTACTGAGCTCAAACTTTACTGAGCCCAAACTTTACTGAGCCCAAACTTTTACTGAGCCCAAACTTTACTGAGCCCGAACTTTATTGAGCCAAAACCTTTTTTTACCCCAAATTTTACTGAGCCCAAATTTTACTGAGCCCAAACTTTACTGAGCCCAAACTTTACTGAGCCCAAACTTTACTGAGCCCAAACTTTTACTGAGCCCAAACTTTACTGAACCCGAACTTTACTGAGCCCACACTTTACTGAGCCCAAACTTTACTGAGCCCAAACTTTACTGAGCCCAAACTTTACTGAGCCCAAACTTTACTGACAAACATGGCGTTAGTCCAGATGCCTGTTATATATGAAGTGCAGTCTAGATGTTGTAATACAATTTTGTTTGAACTTATTAACATCAATACTTTGACCGTATTATCGTTGACCCCTACTATTTTCTATTGCTGAACATCAACAAAAGCCCTTTGAACCGAGTTGCTTTGTACACCATCGAATCTAAAGAAAATCGGTACAAAAACCTCAGAACCCACTTTTTCTAATCCCATGTGTTACTGACTGATTAACCAAAGACATAGTAGAATATTTTCAAAAACATACCGCGGATGTCTTATGAAATCTACATAAATTATGCTAATTTGTCTACAATCTCTACCTTGCGAGAAGGTACTAAATTGTACAGCTAATTTTTATTCTGGAGCATGGCGGGAAAAAATGATTTGTTGCCGTGAAGATGAACATTCATCTTGTAACAAAATGGTTTTAGTTAACATTCATCTTGTAACAAAATGGTTTTAGTTAACATTCATCTTGTAACAAAATGGTTTTAGTTAACATTCATCTTGTAACTAAATGGTTTTAGTTAACATTCCTCTTGTAACAAAATGGTTTTAGTTAACATTCATCTTGTAACTAAATGGTTTTAGTTAACATTCATCTCGTAAGAAAATGGTTTTAGTTAGCATTCATCTTGTAACAAGATGGTTTTTGTTAACATTCATCTTGTAACTAAATGGTTTTAGTTAACATTCATCTTGTAACTAAATGGTTTTTGTTAACATTCATCTTGTAACTAAATGGTTTTAGTTAACATTCATCTTGTAACTAAATGGTTTTTAGTTAACATTCATCTTGTAACTAAATGGTTTTTGTTAACATTCATCTTGTAACTAAATGGTTTTTGTTAACATTCATCTTGTAACTAAATGTTTTCAGTTAACATTCATCTTGTAACTAAATGGTGTTAGCATTCATCTTGTAACATTCCAATACCTAGACTCTACACACACCATACTTTAAAAACCAAGATTCCAATACCTAGACTCTACATACAACATACTTTAAAAACCAACATTCCAATACCTAGGCTGTAAATTGTAAATACAACATACTTTAAAAACCAACATTCCAATACCTAGACTCTACATACAACATACTTTAAAAACCAACATTCCAATACCTAGGCTGTAAATTGTAAATACAACATACTTTAAAAACCAACATTCCAATACCTAGACTCTACATACAACATACTTTAAAAACCAACATTCCAATACCTAAGGACAAAAGGTAATTTCTACCCATCCGTATTTGTGTCATGTTTAGGGAACGTGGCGTTGTTTTTGTTTTGTTTTTTTAATTTCAGATGTCTTTTATCTTACGTTTTCTGCCATTCGCAGCCTAAAAAACAAACTGCAAAAGTGCAAACCCATGTCGTGTATGACATAACAATCTACGACTTTAGTAAACAAACATATTTAGACAGAAACTGTGTCTGAAATATCTGTTGTTAGAAGCAGCGGACGTTACTTTCCGCTTTTTTACAATAATATCGTGTCTAAAAAATTTCCGATGGTAAAAACAAATTCAATGCAAACATATGATGTCTTAGAATCTACTTGCAATGCAAACATATAATGTCTTAGAATCTACTTGCAATGCAAACTTATAATGTCTTAGAATCTACTTGCAATGCACACATAAAATGTCTTAGAATCTACTTGAAATGCAAACATATAATGTCTTAGAATCTACTTTGCAATGCAAACATATGTCTTAGTATCTCATGTCTATTGCTGGTATGTCTGAAACCAATGATGACAAACCATCATGTCTAAAACAAGATGTATGAAACATCTGATGTGCTGATATGATGTGTAAAACATCTGCTGCTAGAAATATTTGATATCTGAAACAGCCGATACAAACATGAATGGTGGCCATGTAGATGGATGTTATATGCTTTTAAAATCAAGAGTTGACAATAGTGGTACCTAATACAGCTAGGTACATGAAAGTGCTTTAAGACAGGTACCAAATACAGCTAGGTACATGAAAGTGCTTTAAGACAGGTGCCAAATACAGCTAGGTACATGAAATTGCTTAAAGACAGGTACCAAATACAGCTAGGTACATGAAAGTGCTTTAAGACAGGTGCCAAATACAGCTAGGTACATGAAATTGCTTAAAGACAGGTACCAAATACAGCTAGGTACAAGAAAGTGCTTTAAGACAGGGACCAAATACAGCTAGGTATATGAAAGTGCTTTAAGACAGGTGCCAAATACTGCTAGGTATATGAAAGTGCTTTAAGACAGGTATAAAAATACAGCTAGGTACATGAAAGTGCTTTAAGACAGGGACCAAATACAGCTAGGTACATGAAAGTGCTTTAAGACAGGAACCAAATACAGCTAGGCACATGAAAGTGCTTTAAGACAGGTACTAATACAGCTGTAAATGAAAGTGCTTTAAGACAGGTACAAAAATACAGCTAGGTATTTGAAAGTGCTTAAAGACAGGAACCAAATACAGCTAGGTACATGAAAGTGCTTTAAGACAGGTACTAATACAGCCAGGTACATGAAAGTGCTTTAAGACAGGGACCAAATACAGCTAGGTATTTGAAAGTGCTTTAAGACAGGTACCAAATACAGCTAGGTACATGAAATTGCTTTAAGAAAGGTACCAAATACAGCTAGGTACATGAAATTGCTTAAAGACAGGTACCAAATACAGCTAGGTACAAGAAAGTGCTTTAAGACAGGTGCCAAATACAGCTAGGTACAAGAAAGTGCTTTAAGACAGGTACAAAATACAGCTAGGTACAAGAAAGTGCAGAGAAAATGGAAATGGATTGGCCACACACTCAGGAAGCCTGTATCCAGCATAACAAGACAGGCCCTCACCTGGAATCCACAAGGCAGGAGGAAGAGAGGCAGACCAAGAAAGACCTGGAGACGTGACCTGGAAGAAGACATCAAGAAGATTGGATACACCTGGGGACAGTTGGAGAGACTAGCCCTGGACAGAGACGTCTGGAAAGCTCTTGTCAGCGGCCTATGTCCCAGTAGGGACGACAGGCAAACATGACATGACATGACAAGAAAGTGCTTTAAGACAGGGACCAAATACAGCTAGGTATATGAAAGTGCTTTAAGACAGGTGCCAAATACTGCTAGGTATATGAAAGTGCTTTAAGACAGGTATAAAAATACAGCTAGGTACATGAAAGTGCTTTAAGACAGGTACTAATACAGCTAGGTACATGAAAGTGCTTTAAGACAGGGATCAAATACAGCTAGGTACATGAAAGTGCTTTAAGACAGGTACAAAAATACAGCTAGGTATTTGAAAGTGCTTAAAGACAGGTACCAAATACAGCTAGGTACATGAAAGTGCCTTAAGACAGGTACAAAATACAGCTGTAAATGAAAGTGCTTTAAGACAGGTACAAAAATACAGCTAGGTATTTGAAAGTGCTATAAGACAGGGATCAAATACAGCTAGGTACATGAAAGTGCTTTAAGACAGGGATCAAATACAGCTAGGTACATGAAAGTGCTTTAAGACAGGTACAAAAATACAGCTAGGTACAAGAAAGTGCTTTAAGACAGGGACCAAATACAGCAAACTAAATGAAAGTAATTTAATACAGGTTCCAAATACAATTAGATAAATATTTTACAAGATTATATACCATATAGTGCATAAATATTACACAGCCAAGTGCAAACTTACAGTGCAGAAATGCACAGGCCTAGACACGCATACAAATGCTAACATAAAGTATATTCATCTCATACAAAACTCATACATGACGAAATTCTGAACTAACGACCTAAACGAACTTACATGTTGACACTGTATGGAAGACGTCACAAATGTTTTAACAAGATTTCTAAACACTAAACAGCCGCCTCTTTATAAACCAAATGGCCATGGGTGGAGCATAGGTTCTCAAATTATAATTACTGGTCCCAGGTTTGCGAGTTTTTATTTTATTTTATTTATTATATGTTTTAAATGCTGCAGCCCTAACGCATGTTTGAAAGATGTATGATTCGGGTCACAAAGGGAATTAAAGCCGCGTTGTTGTCCGTGTATCAATAATTTCCCCTATCCCGTTGTTGTAGGCTGCACGTAAAACAGTTTGGGGACCTTTGACTTGCGTGCTTTAATGGCCCGGGGGATCAGCCTCGTGGGTCAAAGGTCGAGTGACCTTCACTTATTACAGGGGCGGATCCTACCAATGTAGGCGAAGCTACTTTCACATGTATGTCGTTATAACTATAAAAACTTTCAATCTTGCTTAGGTGATTTCAAGTAACGGTGTGGTATATGAATGGGTGGGGCTGTGGCATTGAAGGCTACACCTACAATTAAATCAGAACGATGCCAATTAATTAATTTATGGTGCAATTAATTCTAGTTTGGAAGATGGCGTACAGGGAATAGCACGCCAAACATGGCATTCACTGGCCCACGCAGTGTACCAGAAGACGCGCCCAGATTAAGTTGACTTGACATTACATTCAGGTGAATTATAGACGACATTTTTTTTTCTGTGTGGCTTGTCTCACGTGGTACTAAATTGTTTTACGAAAACCACAGGCATGTTCACACATGTTTTCAGTACAAATGTTACGTAATAAAAATGATGCCAGTATATATATATATATATATATATATATATATATATATATATATATATATATATATATATATATATATATATATATATATATATATATATATATGTATGTATGTATATATATGTATGTATGTATGTATAGATGTACATAATATTATATGTATGTATATATGTGTATATATATATATATATATATATATATATATATATATATATATATATATATGTATGTATATGTATATATATATATTTATATGTATATATATATGTATGTATGTATATATGTATGTATATATATGTATGTATATATATGTATGTATGTATATATATGTATGTATATATATATGTATGTATATATATGTATGTATATATATGTATGTATGTATATGTATGTATATATATGCATATATATGTATATGTATATATATATATATGTATATATTGTTATATGTATGTATATATTTATATATATTTATATATGTATATATAGAGATATTTAGAGATGTATATAGATATCTATATATGTATAGATATGTATATATATGTATATGTATATATATATGTATATGTATATATATATATGTATGTATGTATATATGTATGTATATATATGTATGTATATATATGTATGTATATATATGTATGTATATATATGTATGTATGTATATGTATGTATGTATATGTATGTATATATGTGCATATATATGTATATGTATATATATATGTATATATTATTATATGTATGTATATATTTATATATATTTATATATGTATATATAGAGATATTTAGAGATGTATATAGATATCTATATATGTATAGAGATGTATATACATATATATCCAATATTATATATATATATATTCATTTATTTATATATGTGTATGTAGGGGTGTGTGTGGGTGTGTAGGGGTGTGTGTAGGTGTGTAGGAGTGTGTGTAGATGTGTGTCTGTGTGTGGGAGTGTGTGTATGTGTATGGGTGTATGTGTATGTGTATGGGAGTGTGTGTATGTGTGCATGCATGTGAATGTATGTGTGTGTATGTATGTATGTGTGTATAAATGTTTGTGTATATATATGTGTATGTTTTTATATGTATATATGTATATATATATATATATATATATATATATATATATATATATATATATATATATATATATATATATATATATATATAATATATATTTATTTATATGTTTGTAGTGGTACCTCGTTACACGAGTTTAATACTCGCTGTAACAATTTTTTCCATTGAAATTATATGAAATGCCATTTATCCGTTTTAGCCCCCTTATAAACACCATAGTTATTTGTGTAAGAAAAATGTATCTATAAATAAGAAATGTATAAAAATAATAAACGTGAATGCAAAGAATAAACAGGTTTATAAAGTCAATAACCTTTTGAAATCAGCCGAGTTTAGCATACGCACGATGCTGGTGGAAGTTTATGGTTGAGGAGACAGGCGGATGAGTTCTTTCTTCGTTCACTCACTACATTGTTGAATGCTCGGTCTTTCTGTCGCCCCAACTCTTTTTATTCGTTACACTCTTTTCAGTAGACTTTATAAATAAATTGAATAGAACTTAACAAAAATTCACAAAAATAGTTGAGCTTAAATGCTACTTGATAATTTATTATTTACTCTTAGTTTTTGTCTGTTTTTCTATTCACTCGTCTCAGCCTTTTTCACAACGTCTCCAAGACACCAAGACAAAAATGTACAGAAGAAAAATGCTTTAAATTTTTAACTTAAGTTAAATAGTCTTTTAAGTACAAATCGACAATTATTACAAGGGGGTGGAGGAGACACCACGAAGTGCCGCACCGGGTGACACCCGACATAGCGACGCCACTGGGATGTTTTGAGTTAGACCAGGGGTCTCCAAACTACGGCCCGCGGGCCGGATGCGGCCCGCGATGTCCTCTCATCCGGCCCGCGGAAATCTTTTTGTCAACGGAAAAAAACGTTTGTTGGTGATGGCTGAGGAACTTCGCCCAGAAAAATCAAAGACATGTCTGGAAGAAACTGGCCCCTGAACTGATATTTGATAGTTAATGCGGCCCTCGGACTGAAAAGTTTGGAGACCCCTGAGTTAGACAATTGTCGGTAAATAGCTAAGATGTAATTTTTGCAGGCTGTTATATTTTTAATGAACTATGAAACCCGCGTATCCGATTTCTCAGTGCGTGCGTGCGTGCGTGCGTGCGTGTTTGTGTGTGTGTGTGCGTGCGGGCGTGTGTGTGTGTGTGTGTGTGCGTGTGTGTGTGTGTGTATGTGTGTGTAAGATAAACAAGGTTATTTACTAGTGAAGTAAAAACGTTTTGGTGTTTTGTATGGGGTAAACATCCTGCTTATGATGTCACGTGGGACCTAAGGGATGGGCTACTGTAGGCAGAGTCATCCATCTAGGGTCATCCATCTAAGGTCATCCATCTAACGACCATTAGTACAATTAGTGTCTCACGTGGCTGTCCAGTTATGACGTCAAACTGTTTTTCTATAAAACCTCTGCCCCTCCTGCCCGCCCCAACACAAGCACTATCTGAGTAGCATTAAGGTGTACAGAAGGCTGTAAAGGTGTACAGATGGCTGCAAAGGTGTACAGATGACTGTAAAGGTGTACAGAAGGCTGTAAAGGTGTAAAGGTGTACAGATGGCTGTAAAGGTGTAAAGGGGTAAAGGGGTACAGATAGCTTTAAAGCTGTACAGATGGTTGTAAAGGTGTACAGATGAATGTAATGGTGTACAGGTGGCTGTAATGGTGTACAGGTGGCTGTAATGGTGTACAGGTGGCTTTAATGGTGTACAGATGGCTGTAATGGTGTACAGGTGGCTGTAATGGTGTACAGGTGCCTTTAATGGTGTACAGATGGCTGTAATGGTGTACAGGTGGCTGTAATGGTGTACAGGTGGCTGTAATGGTGTACAGATGGCTTTAATGGTGTACAGGTGGCTGTAATGGTGTACAGGTGGCTGTAAAGGTGTAATGATGTACAGATGGCTATAATGGTGTACAGATGGCTGTAATGGTGTACAGATGGCTGTAATGGTGTACAGATGGCTGTAATGGTGTACAGGTGGCTTTAATGGTGTATAGATGGCTGTAAAGGTGTACAGATGGCTGTAAAGGTGTACAGATGGCTGTAAAGGTGTACAGATGGATGTAAAGGTGTACAGATGGCTGTAAAGGTGTAAAGATGGCTTTAAAGGTGTAAAGGTGTACATATGGCTGTAAAGGTGTAAAGGTGTACAGATGGCTGTAAATGTGTAAAGGTGTACAGATGGCTGTAAATGTGTAAAGGTGTACAAATGGCTGTAAAGGTGTAAAGATGTACAGATGGCTTTAATGGTGTACAGATGGCTGTAATGGTGTACAGATGGCTGTAATGGTGTACAGATGTCTCTAAAGGTGTAAAGATGTAAAGATGACTATAATGGTGTATAGATGGCTGTAATGGTGTACAGATGGCTGTAAAGGTGTAAAGGTGTACAGATGGCTATAATGGTGTACAGATGGCTGTAATGGTGTACAGATGGCTGTAATTGTGTACAGATGGCTGTAATGGTGTACAGGTGGCTGTAAAGGTGTACAGATGGATGTAATGGTGTACAGATGGCTATAATGGTGTACAGATGGCTGTAATGGTGTACAGGTGGCTGTAAAGGTGTACAGATGGCTGTAATGGTGTACAGATGGCTGTAATGGTGTACAGGTGGCTGTAAAGGTGTACATATGGCTGTAAAGGTACAGATGGATGTAAAGGTGTACATATGGCTGTAAAGGTGTAAAGGTGTACAGATGGCTGTAAATGTGTAACGGTGTACAGATGGCTGTAAAGGTGTAAAGGTGTACAGATGGTTGTAAAGGTGTACAGATGGTTGTAAAGGTGTACAGAGGGCTGTAAAGGTGTACAGATGGATGTAATGGTGTACAGATGGCTGTAATGGTGTACAGGTGGCTGTAATGGTGTACAGGTGGCTGTAATGGTGTACAGGTGGCTTTAATGGTGTACAGATGGCTGTAATGGTGTACAGGTGGCTGTAATGGTGTACAGGTGGCTGTAATGGTGTTCAGATGGCTGTAATGGTGTACAGGTGGCTGTAATGGTGTACAGGTGGCTGTAATGGTGTACAGGTGGCTGTAATGGTGTACAGGTGGCTTTAATGGTGTACAGATGGCTGTAATGGTGTACAGGTGGCTGTAATGGTGTACAGGTGCCTTTAATGGTGTACAGATGGCTGTAATGGTGTACAGGTGGCT